AATTAACATTTTATACTTCATATGTAAAATTTAACATATGGTATTTCTGAAATAGTTCTGTCACTACTTTTCATTTAAAATTAACCAGAAAATGATCGTATTTCTTGTCATGAGGCTAACTATTTCATATGTACACAAAAGAACTAATGTTTTCTGTTTATGTTTCCTAAGTTTTTATTTGTAGTTTGTAATACTCAGTCTTGTTACTAAACAACTTATTAGAACAGAAAACAACACAAACTTCCTACAAATAGCTGTTTATTTAAACCATACAACATATTTTAACGCTTGTTCCTGTATGGTTCATCCAAACAGAAACAACAAAAACCCAACCGTGTGGGTCTCTCTTTGTAGCTTAAGCTTCATATTATTTATTAAATAGCGTTATCGTTTTTACAAAACTAAATATAACTCTGTACACACAGAGCTGGACTTTAACGGTGTTTAGACATCAAGCTACGAATAAGTCAACATGTACTTAGTGTCAATATCTTAAGTATTTATTCATAACTGTTGAATACATAGATATGATAAAATACTTAATTTATTTACAAACCAACTACTTTTTATGACATAACATATGAGATATTCTTCGTTAGGGTCCATTAAACAGGAGGTTAGCTGAATATAACGCTAAAGACTATAGAGTATGGGTCTATCAACTTCGACTGAGTTTCTCAAGAAGAAGAGTGGATAAACAAAATCTACATATAACATAAAAACGATCTTTAAGAACAAAGCACAGTTGTAATACAAATAAATAAATGATACGTTTGTTGAACTTGGGCAAACGTACTTGAGAACAATCTGTGCTAGCTGTCCATAATTTAGAAGTGATAGACTAAAGAAAAGTCAGCTAGTCAACACCGCACGAAACATGATCACCCTGGGAGCATTATAATATGATGGTCAAACTCACTTTCCGTTGATAAAGAGTAGTTCAAGAGTTGGACTGAATCTGCGACTGCAAGTCGAATGTCCTAATCATCTGGCCATGTCAGCCCTCGGTGAAATAAGATAAAGACAAAATCTTAAGGTCTCACAAAAAATCTCTGTATCTGAAATGATACTTACCTTAAGAGATCCAGCTCTTTAAACTATTCTGCAATAAGAACAACAATACTGTTTAATAGGGGAAAAGTCTGGCTTTAAAATAACCAAAGTAGAATAATACAGAAGAAACCAGGCTGCCCACGTGTGACTTTAATCTACTCACTGGATTGCAGTGGTGAGGCCATTACTTGATTCACCGACATAAAAGCTGTCTATTTCAAGACATCACAAGTGAAGTCACAGCTGCATTTCCTACAAGAAAACACGGGTAATGGCTAATTGGTGTATTTGGTTCCGTGTGCATTGAAAGTAAGGATAAGTTAAATAAAATAAAGTTGAGATCGCTTATTAGTGAACAACACCAAATTTTTATAAATACAAGTTTCGATACTTACGTGTGCACTTTTCAGTCCAATATTGAACAGAAGAAGAAGAAACGTTAAAAGTTCTGTCCACATACATTTGGTGTTGTTCTTTACTAGGTGATCTAAACTTTATTTTATAATACTTTACACGGCATTGTGTATTTACCTACGATATTTTAAGTTGTTTACTTGAACGAATTTCTACGTCCAAACTGAACACAGAGAAAACAGAAATGTAAAAACAGTTTATTTAGCGGGTAGCAAACGTATGGTTCCATCCTTTGCCAAAATAATAATAATAATGAACACATTTTATATCAATGAAGCTTTGGGAGTTAATAAAAGCTCTCTCGGTATGTTCGTTTCTGATAAACCTTACAATTATTTAGAGAAGATACACCTTTAGAAAACGTTTATCAGTGTATAAACTTGACAGCTAATATAAGATATTATTAAAAAAAACGATTATCTTTCCATAACGTTTTCCCATAACTAATAATTAGTATAAAAAAAACTAAATTGCTATATCTTATTATGTGCACCAGGTTTTTTAAACATTTATTTTACGGTTAAAAAAGTAATATTAAAATCGTAGTTTGTTTTTCATTTCCACTGTAATATAGTTTTTGACATTTTATGAAAGATATTTAAAACCACCAGGTGGCGCTTTATGACATGTGAGGGAATGTTGTAAACAGAAGTTAACGAAAAATAAGGTATACCAAGAACAAGGCTTTAATTTGTTTCATTTTTTGCATGTTTTTTGATTTAATTTTTATACTGACTTACTGGGATATTTTGGTGTTTCATCCTCAACCATTCAAATGAAGACATAGAATAGAGAAAAAATTTATTATTTTGCGTCATTAAAATAATAATTACAAATTAATGAATTGAGCCTGAAAGTGAAAGTAAAGCCGCGAAGCCCATGGTTTATAAATTAACAAAAAATTTAAAAATGACAAAATGGTGGCTGGGAAGGAGATTGGACTTAAACTCCTTTTAACTATGATAAATCGAGCCATTAGTAATAGTATTGAACTCTGGAAAGGTGAGTACTACGTAATTTGAGACAAGAACGTGGGAATCGGTAGGAAAGTGAGCAAGTAATAAAATATCTGCTCATTAACGAGTAGTCAGTCAGTGTCATTGAACGTCAGTATCTTTTAATTTATATTAAAAAAAGAAACAAATAAACTGTTTGAGATTTATAAACTTCTTCAAATAAAGTGTGAAGCATTAATTTTGCCACATTAAATCAATGAGGTAAACAAATAGTTAAGTTACTAATTAGTCCGGATCATAGAGTTATACTTACACTGAGGTTAAATTGAACTAAAGGCGTTACCTAAGTACTTCGAGTCTCCATTATTTATTAAACACCTAGTCCTAACAGTTTTGATACTAAGAAGTGGGATAATTATTTAATTGTATAGTTTCTTGGGGTTGAACGTGAGGTGACAAAGGCCACAAGATACTAAGCACAGAGTTGCAAGATACATGTTTACTGTCTGGTGTACTTTTTTATACTAGCCTTACAACAAAGACTTGTTATTCACCATAGCACTAGCAGTATCATTTGTGGCTCTCTTAAAATGTTTTGTTTAACTTGTGCTGTTTACAGATAAAATAATTACTTTGTCCTGGTGTTATATGTTTAGCGTAACTCTAACAAACATATACCTACCTTAAATAGTCAGTTTAGCATAAGTTCATTGAATCTGTATGGAAAAGGTATGTCCATACTTTTATGGTGATGGCAAGTTACCTTATAATAATAATGATATTTAACTAGATTACACGATTTAATTTTGTGCTAGTTGGAATAGAGAAAGTAAATAACATTTAGCACAGCATGACATCTCAGTATAAGAAATACTAAATTAAACATTCTCTCATTGTGAGAACTTGCTGCTATCATAAAAGTGAATGTCATACATTCTAATAAATTATAATAAATGCAAGATAATGCGTGTGGGTTATCATAATTTGAATTATAAGTATAATTTGGATGGGAATGACCTTAGCAGTATAATGAAGGAATGGGATTTTGGTGTAATAGGCGATCAGTCTAAAACCATCCAAGCAGTGTGCTGTTGCTAGTGGTAGGGCAAATAGGATTTTAGGTTGTATCTACA